AAAAAGGCTAGTAAGAAATCCAAGAGCTGGCATTGAAATAGTTATATCAACAATAATTTTCTGATTAAGTTCAGTTAATAAAACTTTTGTTGATATAAAAGGATCAGGATTGCGATGATACATTTTTTGAAATATGTTTGACTGTAATATTTTCATATCTATTAAGTTGTTTTTCTCTAATTTGTTGATGCAATTTTGGAACCAAATAATTAATGTTATTTTTAATAAATTCTCTAATTTCCAAAGTTGTTTCTATATGAACAGGGCATAGATGTAATATTGAATGAAAATATTCCACTTTGATAATATTTGAAGATACTAAAATATCAATTTTAATAACCTCTTCACAATTATACCACTCAATTTGTATAGAGGTATCTCTATAAATCTCTGGATTTGGATGTTTTACTTGATGCTTGGCTCGATTAATATGACAATTACAGTGATAAGTAACCATTAATAAAATTTTTTTTGATTTTTATCTTTGTAAATCCATCTATAACCATCTCCTGCTTCAATATATTTTGTTGTACGATAGGCAACTTCAAGGTAAATTTTTTCATTATTGTTAAAATTTTCTTTATCCTCATCTAATATAATATTAATAAAAGAGGACAACTCAACATCAAAACTGATAACTAATTCAACATTATCACCTTCATAAAATTCATTGGTCTCTTCCAGAGAAATCAACGAGTTATAAACAAACTCACTAATATCTGAGTAAGTAATTGTGACTTTGTGCCTTTGGCTTTGACTTTGACTTTTATTGAATTGAGAAATTGTACATTTATTTCTGCATGATTGACACCAGCTTAAAACTTTATCCTTTTTAAGAAATTCTTTGATTTCTTTAGACTCATGACAATGGATGTATGTTTTATTATGTGGAAGGTCAATGATTTTATTTGTCATTATCAAACAGTATCACTAGCGCAAATCAACAAAAAATTTCAAAAACAAAAATTTTTCGAATTTATTATATTTTGAAACATTGGAGTTTAAAATATTGCATTATACACATTATTAATATTTTACATACATTATACTTTAAAATTTATTAGCTAATTAGTAATTGACTCCTAACTTTAATCGAATAAATGTAAAATAAAAATAAGGCATAAGGCATCTCAAAGAAGTTGTGCTAAAACATTGTAGTCTTATAGATTGAATTATTTATCTACAGGTAAATTAAAAATCGGTGTCAATATAAAGCCCATTTAAGTCAATTGAAAATGGTAATATACATTAATTTATTGTCTCGTCTCATTTATTAAAACTTTGATAGTTATGTACGTACGTACGTACATAATTCGTGCCCTATCAGCTATTGT